GTCCACCTCTAAAGAACTGAGCAGACTGTGAATTTTGTCTATTTTAGAGTATTCACTGTAGAATAATGGTTGGCTTTGATGGATTCTTCGTTCAGTTTTCTTGAGATGTGGAAACACACACAACACACACACACACACACACATTGACAGACACAAGCAAAGTAACGGAGAGAGAGAGAATCTCTATCCACTAATTCACTCTCCAAATACCCACAACGGTCGTGGCTGGGCCTTACTGAAACCGGGGATTGAGGTCCCTGTCAAACAGGCTCCATGTGGTGTTCAGCTGATTTGCTCTCTGGCCCTTCTGCCTTCAGCCTTGCACCATGTGACAATGCAATAGTAAGACCTTCATCAGACAAAGCATGCTGATGCCCTGATGTTGGACTTCCCAGGCGCTCTAGGTGTGAGAACTATAAATTTCTGATCTTCACAGATTATCCAGTCTCAGGCATTGAGTGTTAGCAACACAAACACAGAAACCACATATGCCCCTATACTTGTGGAGTTAACTCCCAGAAGTGACAGTGCCAGTGCAAATGGCAGATCTACTGTAGAACTCTATTGCTAGATTCCCCTTTGATAGAGGTTGCATGGTTTCGCATGTTCATTACCACTCCTCGAGGAGTGTCTTCTTATTCCAATATATGCTGCCAAGTACTTGAATTGTAGCCAAATGAGAGATGTGCAGTTTTTATTTGCATTGCCCTGCACAGGAGAAAGGTGGCGCTCTTTCCATTGGAAGAAAAGCCACTTGTGTCCCTTTTCCTGTCAACTGTCCTTGTCCTTTGCCCATCTTTCTGTTGGAATGTTGGCCATTTCTCCCTCGTTTCCAAGAACAATGTGTACGTTAATTTTCTTTCATTTTGATGTAATAGGCAGACCAACTACACTTTCTTAGTCGGTATTTGTTTTTCCTTTATCTTGGTTTGCCATGCATGAATTAAGGTTTGTGTGTGGCTGAATATAACAGCCTTTTCATTTATAACTAACGCATTTTGTTTCCGAGTTGGGAAGGGCCTTTCACCACTCTTCCCATCTTACATAATAAATGAACTGAGACAGAGGAAAAGGAGCTCCCATCTGCTAGTTCACTTCCCAATGCTAGAGGTGCCTTGAGATGTGCCAGACTGCAACTGGGAACTGGCAATTCCACCCAGGTCACCCAAGTGAATAGCATGGAACTTGTTATGGGAGCCGTGGTCACCATTGCTTCCCCAGAGGTATTTTAGTAAGAAACTGGAGTCAGGCTCCAGAGATGAGTATCAAAACCAGGTATTTTGATGTCTATTCTAGTGATGTTCCTGTATATAGAGTATTGTGAAGATTATGTTATTTTTCTCCATTGACTGTTAGAAACCTGGAGCACAATAAAAATGTTACTCATGCCTGGATTTATGAACTTTAGCCTTTTCACCTACTTCCAGTGTGAACTACAAATTTATGTTTTCTTTGAATGCTATTATAGTCTGGTTTGTGCCAGTAGAATCTTATTATTGTTTCATCCTAATCTGGACTAGTATATTTCCAGAAAATATGGGGATTTTCTTGTTTTCAAAAAAATTAATATTTTTCTATCACCTGTTCATTCTTTTTGTGGTATAAAGGGCTTTATTAGTTGGCATTCTTATTATATCAAAATAAAAGAAACCTAACATACACATTGTTCTTGGAAACAAGGGAGAAACAGCCAAATTACTGTTACTGGACTTCCAAAGGTTAATGAATGCACTTTTCTTTGAGGCTTACCCAAAGGTTGGTTGTTGCAGATGATAGTGTATCTTGTAGTCCTATAATTTGTGGCATACTCAGAGCTCACATGTCAGGTCCTGATATGGTAGTATATGAAGCAGCAGGGGAGTGTTACTGATGACCAAATAAGAATTACGTGGCTTACAATTGTTATGAGCAAAATTGAAGCCATAGATGGCTTAGAGTTTTAACAGCCCTTATCTTATCCTTCGTATTGTGGTATGTACTGCTGTTATGCAGAATATAAAGTTTCCTAGTATTTCTTTGTCTTTTAAAAAAGATTTATTTATTTATTTATTATTTATTTATTTATTTATTTTTCAGTCAGAGAGAGGTAGACAGAGGTATCTTCCATCTGCTGATTCATTCCCCTGGTGGCCACAACAGGCAGCACTGGGCCAGGCCAAGCTGGGAGCTAGAAGCTTCATCCAGGTCTCCCACATGGGTGGCAGGGTCCCAAATACTTAGGTCATCTGCTGTTACTTTTACCAGGCCAATTAGCAGGGAGCTGGATTGGAAGTGGCACAGCCAGGACACAAATTGGTGCCCATATGGGATGCTGGAGTTGCAGGAAGTAACTTTACCCACTATGTCACAATGCCAGTCCCTATTCCTTTGTCTTGAATATCTTATAAGACTACTGTGCTGAGCAGACAGCACAGTAGTGTACCGTACTAATGTTAGAATTGGTATGTTACAAATATGTTACAAAATCCTCACTTTATTACTGTAGTTTGATATAATTTTTTTTTGAGTTTGTCTAAGGGTGATTTCTAAGGTTTTATGTTAGTGGAGTTTTCCCTTTGCTTCCTGTGGTCCATTATGTGTTTCTGTCTCCATTGACACTAACATCTTGAAAGGAGATGGATTCATAATTTTTAACTTTTGCATTTATATGAACTTGCATTCTTGTCTATATCTCTTTTATTGTTGACCATATATTCTATAGAGTTTTTTTTTTTTTTTTATAAATAAACATGAGTGGTAGATACTATGGTGTAATGGGTTAAATCACTCCTTGGGATACCTGTAGCCCAAATTGGAGTGTGTCTGGTATTGAGTCCTGACTCCACTTCTGATTCAGCTTCCTGCTAATGTGCACCCTGGGAGACAAAAGATAATGGCTCAAATGCTTGGGTTTCTGCCACCCATGTGGGAGACCTTCAGATCTGGGCTTCTGGCTTTGGCCTGGGCCAGCCCCAACTGTTGCAGGCCATTTGGGGGAGTGAACAGATGTAAGATCTATATCTATTGATCTATCAATATCTAATCTAGCAGCTACTTGCTCTTTTTTTCAAATAAATAAAAGCTTTCTAAAAAATCAATGAATGTGAGATATCATGTTATTCTTTTTCTCTTAAGGTTACAACATGCTATAGGCAGTGGCAGTTGGAAATCCTTTTGTTGTACTATAGCTCTTAATTGCCTTTTGAATAGACCATTTCCTATATCCTGCTGCTGTAGTATTTCATGCCAAATGGAAATTACATTGTATGACCCATTTATCTGCCAGTCTTTGTACAGCCCTGGCTATGAAATATGTTCCCTGCTCATCTCATTCTCTTTTATTTAGGATTCCCAAGGTGGGTTTTCCAGAGCTAATGTTAATATTGTGAATGTTTGTAGATAGGCTTTTTTTTTTCTTTTTTTTTTTTTTTTTTTTTTTTTGACAGGCAGAGTGGACAGTGAGAGAGAGAGACAGAGAGAAAGGTCTTCCTTTGCCGTTGGTTCACCCTCCAATGGCTGCTGTGGTCGGCGCGCTACAGCCGGCGCACCGCACTGATCCGATGGCAGGAGCCAGGTACTTATCCTGGTCTCCCATGGGGTGCAGGGCCCAAGGACTTGGGCCATCTTCCACTGCACTCCCTGGCCACAGCAGAGGGCTGGCCTGGAAGAGGGGCAACTGGGACAGAATCCGGCGCCCCGACCGGGACTAGAACCCGGTGTGCCGGCGCTGCTAGGCAGAGGATTAGCCTAGTGATAGGCTTGTTTTTGCCAATGCTATTCCTATTCTTGAATTATCTATATTATATATATTATAAACACACACACACATTTCTGTAACATATGGTTAAATGTCTATCATGTATATGTCTATTGAATTTGTGAATCTGTATTTCTCTAGGTTTGTTTTACATTGTCCAAAGTTTGTTAGTGCCCTCTTAATTTGCTGCTGTGTTATTTTCTGGTTTCTATCTTGGAACTATTTATGTAGTGAACGTGTCCCTCCCTAGATGTTCCTCTTCCTCACAAATAGTCAAAATTACCTGAGGTGGGTATTCTGCTACTGGGATTTTAAAAATGTTGTAGACAACCTCTTAAATAGTCAATGAAGCTCTTTCTTTTTAATGGTAATGAAGGGTACTGGTAGTAGTTCCAATTCTTATTTTTTCCTTTCTGGTGTAAATGGAGGTTAAGGTGTGCCTCCATGAGTCATTTGGATTTCTATCTTTAATTTAGGTATTTGCTTATCATTTATTGTTATGTTTCTTATTAATGCATCCACCTGATTTTTGCATTGCTTTTCCTCTGAGTTATCTTTCTGGTATAGTGACAAGTGTGAGAGTTACATTTTGATTTTTTCAACTACTTTATATTATCCTTCCCAATATGTTCTAGATTCCACCTCCTTTCCATTATTTTTTAAATAATTTGCCTTTCACATATGTGACCTAAAGGCTATGCTATTTTTCTGCTGTCCATGCATCTGTATACAATTTCTTTTTGTCCTTCCTTCATTGAGCATCTGTCATCACTACTGCTATTAATTTGACATTTCGGACTGATAATGCTTTATCTGTTTCTTTGAGGTGAGCTGATCAAGACAGCTGCCATCTGTTTTGTTTGTCCAGAGGTCACATCACAGAGGTTGGTCCATCTGGAAACCAGGAATTTGGCAAGACATTTGACCAGGCTGAACCCCAGGCTGATGCTTTGAGTTTCATCATGAGTTTTTCTATCCTTAGAATAAAATCTGGTAGGTCAACTTCTGTCTTGTGCATCTCTGTAAGGAGTCCTGGCTTTATGCAGGTCAAAAGTGTCATATTTTTAAGGCTTTATGCATTAGCCATATGTACAGCTCAAAAGGTGAGTATTCTCAGTGTACAGGAGCTTACTGGTCCATAAAACCACTGGTAAAAAGAATTTGCTCCCTAGCTCCTTTTTGCATAATGCCCATGTACCAATTTTTATCTATGTCAGTTGTGGCGAGCAAGTCCCATTTGTAAGAAAAGGGTTGTCTACATGAGTTACGTTCTTCCACAATGTCAAGCTTTATTAATGGGTCACATATTAACTCAGTTACAAGCTACATGGGCTTCACTGAGCACACAATGACCTCAGGTACTCCCCACTTCACTTGCTTGCCATTAGGTCAAATTGGTAAGGCACGTGCAGTCATAGCAAATGGGAAAATGTTCTCATCAATATACTACTATAACTTATCATTAATACAGCGATTAAAATTACAATCATACCATAAATTGAAGAGAAATAGGGAAAGACAGAGCAAGAGACTTGGGGTTAATGAACAAGTCCCAGGTGTAGTCCAGACACAGGTCCTCACCTTGCAAGGGAATCTTCTGGTCAGTGTCTTGCAAGGAAGTTGTAGTAGACTCATCTGTGACGTTGTCTGACAGTGAAGGTTTAGCAGTGGATTCTGTAGCAACCACTAAAGATGACACTGATTGACAAGACCACTCACAGACCATGCATGGGAGGCAGAAACTCCTCCCTTTCTGGTATTTTGGTTTGGATGGTTCTAATCACACCTTAGGTTTGATTGGTTACATCCTTGGTTCTTTGTTCTTGGATTGGTTATTCCTTATAAATTAGTTTGCCTTCTGATTGACTGTAGCTGACGTAATCCTGGCTACTTTTTGGTATACATGTTGCTTTGAAGACCCAGTTGCCTCACTTACTTTAGAGTTCTATGTTTCTCAAAATGGACTCAGTCTTACTCTCTACACTATTGTATGAGTTAATATGACTGCCCAACTTCAAGGTCACCTGCCTTATACTCCTCCTTAGGTCCCTCTCTTTTAAAATGATTCATAAGTAATATATTCACAACAGTTTTGGATTTCAGTAAACATTAAAAGAAAATGTGCCAAAATGAAGCACTTTATTATAACAATTCACCTACTACATAACATGGCTGGGTGATTCAGTAGAAACTGACTTTGTTTAAGAGCCTCCAGAATTACAGAGCTGGTGTTTTGGTCTTTGCATACCGATGAGAACAAAGGACCCTGGGAGCACCCAGTGACAGTCTCCAGAGCAAAAGTGACTGAAAAGGAACCACAAGGGGCCAGTGTTAGTGGATAAAGCTGCTGCCTGCGACACTGGCATCCCATATGGATACCGGTTCAAGTCTCGGCTGCTCCACTTCTGATCCAGCTCCCTGCTAACACACCTGGAAAAGCAATAGAAGATGGTACAAGTGTTCAGGCCCCTGCACCCATATTGGAGACCCGGAAGAAGCTCCTGGATCCTGACTTCAGCCTGGCCCAGCCCTGGCTATTGTGGTCATTTGGGGAATGAACCAGCAGATGGAAGTGTTTCTCTCTCTCTCTCTCTCTCTTTTTCCCCTCCTCCTCTGTATCTCCCTCTCTCTAAAATGGTGTCTTTCAAATAAATAAATCTTAAAAAAAAAACCAACTCAATCCTTCCTAAAACTAACTTGACCTGCTTATCATTAAAAGTAATTAAAAATGCAAAAAGTATTGCAAACATATATATGTATATATTCATACACACAGTCCTTCCTAGTAAATGAAAAAAACAATTTCTTACATCAACTATTCAAAACCATAAAAAGTCAGGCTAGAAAGCGTTTCATCACAAAATGCAATATGCATTCTACATTAAATGTTGATAATGATGATGTACATGATACATGATATCGAATATGATGATGTTATTGCCATACATTTCAAATCTTTAATATGAAGTTTAAAGTACCATATTTGTGTAAGCAGATAAATCACACACAAAACCCCATTTAAATAAAATATTCTGTAGGTTTAAGAGCAAACAACAGGGCTGGGGATTTGACTCAGCAGTTACCTATGTTGCTCATATCCCATATTGGAGTACCTGGTTGGAAGTGCTGGCTCTGCTCCTGATTCCAGCTTCCTGATGATGATGCCACTTATACGGGAGACCTGTATCAAGTCTCTGACTCACAGTATCAGCCTGATCATTGTTATTATGGGCCTTTGGGCAGTGAAACACAGATGGAAGCTCTCTTACTTTCTCTCAGTCTCTCCCAGTCTCTCTGCCTCTCAAATAAAACACTCAGTTTAAGAAAAGAAGCAATATTGGCAGATCATTACCTCTCCTTTGTTAAGTGACACTCAGACCACTCTGAAAGGCTCTCTCTGGTCCTGGGTTTTACAATGCTACTGACCCCTGTTTACAGAGATCTTATTACTAAAGGATTTTGGAATTCTCTCCATTCTGATTCTTTGTCTCTCTGAATAGAAACCATACATGATGTTTGTGATCTGAGATTAGGCCCTAGGTTCTCACTAAGCAAATGAAAAAGAAGATAAAGAGAATAATAAAGAGAAAATAAAGTGGCAAGTCACTTCCAATTCTGAAGTTTCACACAGAGTCAAGAAAAGTTTACTAAACATCAAGTCTTTGACTCTTCTCTTTTCAGCTACAGATACTATCTGGATCAATGTTTTTGGTCCTCTACTTTCCATCTTTTCGAACACACTCAGAGCATCTTTGCTTGAATTAATTAATACCTTTGCTCCTAAGACTCATATCATTGTACAGAAACAGGTTGGGTGTAAAAATTAAACAGATTAGAGCTTAAATCATGTCTTGGCCGCTTACTATCTGTGGCCCTTGGTTATAACTTTATACTCTGAGCCTTAGTTTTTATTACCTAAAATGATAATATAGGCCTATGTGCATGGAAGTCCCTGAGGTTGATACATAGGAAGGGATGCAAAATGAATAGCTGAATGAGTTCCTCCTTCCTCCAGGATGTTTTCTTCTCAACAGGGCTTACAGAATTAATCTCTTAACAGTGGACTTTAAGTGACAAATGCTAGCATGTGTACACGATCCTTATCACAGGGGTAATGTCTTCAATTCTTTCTCATCACTCACTACTCACTGTCTACATGTAGCTCTTTCATACTCTCTGGGATGGTTTACTGCTTTGCTGGTTTCCCCATGTCCACAAAACCCTTTCAGTAAGCAAACGTGTTCTTGAGTATGTACCTCCTGAAAAGCAGTATGGTATGGGGAAATTAAAATTAGTTGAAAATTATGGCCATAACTGCAAAACAGCATTTTAAGGAAAACAAGTTACACGTTAAGTACATAACTTTTCCTCAGCAGTCTTGACTATTGGGGGAAAAGGCCCAGAAGAGTTAATGGGGGGAGGGGGGTCTCAAATAGAACATGTGTATATCTCTAAAACTAGAATTCACAGCTTACCTTCCTGTGGGACACTGGTAATCCCTCCAGGAATCAATTACCAATTCATGACAATTATTCTCAGAAGACTAAGCTTTGCAGTTATGGTGTTCACATTACTCTCCCTTTTGAAAAAAATGCACAAGACTGTGGTTTAAATGAAGGGCAGTAAGCTACTTCAAAGGAATCATTGTATTAAGTTTAATATACCTTTCATTTTTGAAACATAGGCCTGAAATGGTTCTCCTCCAGGAAGTACAGTATAGAAACAGAGTCTTGTATTAAATTTTCTCCAGCTTTAAAAATCTTCCATACAGTGGTCCTTTAAATTATATTTATAATTATACAGATAAAACAAAAGTTGAAGAATGTAAGAATTTCTTTTGTAGGTAATATTTCCATTTGTCTTTTCCACATTTACAAAGGATAGCCTGCTGCCTTTATGATTCTTTTTAGATCATATATTACTAAAAGAACATAATATTTGGTGAATATATAGAATTGGTTTTATTGTGTTTTGCCAATTAAATTAGAGTTCCAAGAACAGAGAACTTGCTCACAACCTAATGCTTCTGAGTACCTAAATACTTAATTAGACTTGGGTAATAACAGTTGTCCAGAGCAGCCTTCTTCCTGATACTTTTACTAATGTAGACTGCCTTTAGAGATTCAGGTGTTTTTGTTTTTGTTTTTTCTCAGAGCTACTTCTGTGTCTGCAGTTTTTCAGAATAATCAAGTCAAAGTATACTAAAGAAGTATACTTTTGGGTAGCATATTCTAGTCTCTTGCAATCATATTTTTGGTGTGCTGTGTACATAGTCCCTACAGTGGCAATAACAGAAAATCTAAAGTGTACTTTTCTGTTCATCCTGAAACTCTGTGGTATTTGAGACAAAATAGCAGAAGACAAGCTGGGTCATCTGCGAAAGGAGTCACAGAGTGACAGTTCCAGTTGCCAAGTCATGGGGGGGAACACCATGGATGTCTTCAGTAACTTTTCAGATTGCCATTTCCAATGTTCTTACTTGTTACGTGAGGATTTCTCCTCTTTCTATGCATTAAGCTTTGTAAACAAGACAGTGGCCTCGATGGAATTCACATGATACCATCACAGTAAATGCTCTCACCAATAAGGGTTTTAACAGGTCTACATTGAGGATACTATGGCCAGCCTATTCCTGGAGCTAAGCAACACCAAAGGGACTTTTACTCCAACCAACACCTTGCATCCCAATGAAATTGCCCTGGATTTTAGGGTGGTGACTAAGGGAGAGAGGACAGCAATGGGAAAGTCAGGTGCCAGGAATTCAGTGTGGGTACAGGAATACTATGTGGGTGCAGGAATCCAATAACCTGCAGCCTCCAATGGTATGCACTGCAGGAAGCTGGAATCAGGAGTAGACCTGGGATTAAAACTCAGGCACTCTCACTTGAGATGCAAGCAGGCACAAGCTGCTTCAAAACCACTGCACCAGGCCGGCGCCGCGGCTCACTAGGCTAATCCTCCGCCTAGCGGCGCCGGCACACCGGGTTCTAGTCCCGGTCGGGGCGCCGGATTCTGTCCCGGTTGCCCCTCTTCCAGGCCAGCCCTCTGCTGTGGCCAGGGAGTGCAGTGGAGGATGGCCCAGGTGCTTGGGCCCTGCACCCCATGGGAGACCAGGAAAAAGCACCTGGCTCCTGGCTCCTGCCATCGGATCAGCGCGGTGCGCCGGCCACAGCGCGCCGGCCGCGGCGGCCATTGGAGGGTGAACCAACGGCAAAGGAAGACCTTTCTCTCTGTCTCTCTCTCTCACTGTCCACTCTGCCTGTCAAAAAATAAAAAAAAAAAAAAAAAAAAAACCACTGCACCAAACTCTCATCCTCCAAACTCACTTTTACCAAGGGGAAAGAGGCTGAATGAAGGAGTAGCCAGAAGAGCAAAGCCAAGACCCAGGGAAGGCAGTCACAGCTGCTAAGAATCATGCATGTGTGTGTTTGTATATATGTGTGCAGTGGAGAGGACAAGTAAGTCTCCAGGCTCACTTGGCTTGGGGGATGCTGCTACCCACAGTCCTGACTCCCACCCTCATTGGCCATGGATTTAGAACAACAGAAGCCCTGGGCCACTAGGTCCCATGCCCCAGTTCTATTCTAAGGCACACTTCCCATCGTTGACCAGGAGTTGTATCCTTGCCAGACCTCTCAAATTTCTCAAACCTGCTCTTACTACCTCTTGCCTACTGCTCTGCCTGCTGTTTCCCTTCTGTGCCCCCTATTCCCAAGGCCTGCCTGACCTCAGAAATTCCTCCCTAGGAAGAGCCTGCCCTGAATAAAGGAAAACCCAAAGGGGAATCTAACTTCATTTACCACCTCCCCAACTCAGAGGATGTAGCTGGCATGAGGACACTAGTTAAGGACACCACAACCCAGCAGAGTATCAGACAAGAAGGGAATCCCAACACCTTGAATTGGGCTAACTGTGGCAAGGCAGGAGGTGCAGCTTTGCCCCTGCATGTTGCCATGGGAGTTCATGAGTTGGTGGCCGAGGAGGGAGTACAGAGGGGGAACTGGAGTGGCCCTAATGCTTGGAGCAAAAAGCATTACTGCTGCCTGAACTTTTTTCAGAAATGTAAATGTGTTCTCTGTGGTGAGGGAGAAAAGGGGAGGGGAGAAGTCTGAGTAGATGAGGAGGGGTGGTAACAAGAAGGAGAACTGCATATTTTACAGCTCACTGACCATTTGGCAATCCATTAAGAGGAGGGTTTGGAAATGTGACTCTTTTGTAAAGCACTTTCTAGAACTGGGGTTTCTAATTTACCTCTCATTAGCTATTTGGGTGGCCAGTGAGGTATAAGGTCAGCAGGAAAAGCAGACAGCCAAGATCCTTGGCACACATGGACAGATGCCCTGTTACAGGCAGATTGCCTGGAGAGGACAGGCAACTACATGCAGAGCCTTCTGCCTTCTAATCCTGTGCATGTTTACTTGGATGGCACTGGATGGATTCACCAAAAAGATATATATTTTTTTCTGTGGTATAGGAAATGAGTCCAAAGTTGACTGCTTCATAGTGACCACTGCCCCTCAGTGACATCAGCTGAGTGATCCACCAGGAACTGCCTTGCACCCAGCTCTCCATGTCCCCTCCCCAGTCATGTACTAACCTAGCAGCTATTAGTCAGGCTTGTCTTCCCTGTGTCCACCCTACACTGCCTTGTCCCCCCAGTCATCTGCACACCAGCAGATTGCACTACTAGAGGAGGCATGGACATGTGAGGGTGCTTGTTGTGAGGACTAAGAAAGACTGATTTCCCATTGTACTCAGGAGTTGCTCATGATGGGGTGGTCCCATGGCATGTGCACTGCAGGGCAAAGAGTATACTTTACTGTCATAGCAAGAAGCTCCAGTGCTCAAAGTCTGAGAGGTGATCTTTGTCCAGGATGGGATGGAAGGGAGGCTTAGTCAAGGAGCTGAGGGCTGAACTCTGCTATGTGAGCAAGACTTCCTGAGGTGGAGGGAGACAGGTGGGCATTCCAGGCAAAGGTAAGTGTACACAGGCCTAGCAGCGAAGGATGGCTTATCATGCACGGGGGACTCCATCCCAGGAGCTAGGAAGGTGTGCTGCTGCATTTTATTAACAAGGAGATAGTTACCCAAGTTCCCTGCTGGGAATGGGGTTATGAGCCTGACTCCCACAAGAGGAAACAGGTTTGGGAGATTGGGTGCTTGCCAGACCTTTGAATGGGGGAGTAGGAGGTGACTACTGTAGGACTCTGGGGGAGGAATCACATGGGCTAGTTGAACGTTCTGGGACATAAGTTGTGGAAAGATCTGAGGTGGGGATGCTCAGAGATGGTGAGCTCAGTTACTAGGAGGACCCAACACGACACCCCCTCAGGCCAGCAATAGGCTGGAGGCTTCTACCCTGTAGAAGCTCTGGGGAATCTGAGGCCCCTTCATCCATATGACTGGTGACTTCTGTGCCCATACTCACAAAGCTTATTGCTTTGGAGACACGACTTGCTCATCAGGAAAATGGACAATGAAAGACCCTCAGTGACTCATACACTGCTTATTCCACCCTTCCTGGCCCACTATATGTTCCCATCCCGCAGTTTCAAGGCACCTTTGCTTCCAGTGGCTGTGGCATCTATGGGCTGACTTCATCCCTCATGACCACCTGCCTGTGCTCAGCAATGTCAATGTTGGAGGCTCCAGGTATGGTGAAATCAAGCTGCAGTCTGAAGACTCTCACACTCAAGGTGCAAATGCACAAAAAACATTTTACCCACCTGGAAAATCCCATGTGCTGGGTCTTCCTCAATCACTTGGATTGCCATATTTTACCATGTCTCATAGGACTCCAGGCTATGCCCTTTCTGCTCCCAGTATCACTGTTTATCAGTAGTCAGTCAGTAGGAGGAGACAGACATGCTGTACTCTTCAGTTTCTGGATCCATGGTGCCTTGTCCTGGCAAGAAACTTGTTCAGTATATGGTTGTATTGGCAGGTCCTGTTAGCCAATATGGTTAACAGGACACTGGCAGTCATATGGGATACTGACTCAGCAGTTTGCTCTCATGGCTTCTTTGCTGGTAATGGCTGTCATCATGGGGGAGAGATTTGTCATTCTCTGTATTCTGAAAATCAGGGCAAGAGCTGGAAGGCCATTCTTCTATGACAAAGTGATCTCTATACAAACCCCCCAAGGCCATACTTGATGGCATCAGACTTGGATCTGGTGATCAAGCAGTGGGACCTGGGGGCTAGTAAGTATAAAAGGCAGTACAAAGGTCACATGGATGAGTGCTCCTGTCTGTCCATGCATGTGAATGAGGAATAATGAATCCTGGTGGCACTGCACAGGACTGCTACATGAGAATCTGGAGCTTCCAAAATACCCACCTGCTCAGTATTGCTTCTCCTCCAAGGTCAACATCTTCAGTGTGGCCTTCTCTTCTTGGCTTCAGGGGCTGAGGGTGCTAGGATTGTTTATGGCCAGCCAATGCAAGCTTAATACTGTTTCTACTATAGCTTAGTCCTCCAGGGTGCAATGTATAGGAAGACAGATTTGACTTTTGAGGGAGTAAAGAATGACTTCTTTCTGCTTCTAATGAGAGCATTTTAAGCGACATGTGTAAACACGTCCCATTCTTCTGGCTGCTGGGGGCAAGTACTAAGTGTTTTCTGTGAAAATAATACTTCAGCAAACTTGCATCACATAAATTCAGTGCTCTGAGAGCTTAGAAATCCTTTTCATGAAAGCATTTATTAAAAAAAAAAAGAGGTATTTCTTTTTCTTCTTAAATCCCATAGAAGAGTCCCTTCCTCCTTTTTTTTTTTTTTAATTTTTATTTTTTTTGACAGGCAGAGTGGACAGTGAGAGAGACAGACAGAGAGAAAGGTCTTCCTTTGCCGTTGGTTCACCCTCCAATGGCCGCTGCGGCCAGCGTGCTGCGGCTGGCGCACCGCGCTAATCCGAAGCCAGGAGCCAGGTGCTTCTCCTGGTCTCCCATGCGGGTGCAGGGCCCAAGCACTTGGGCCATCCTCTACTGCACTCCCGGGCCATAGCAGAGAGCTGGCCTGGAAGAGGGGCAACCGGGACGGAATCTGGCACCCCAACCGGGACTAGAACCCGGTGTGCTGGCACCACATGTGGAGGATTAGCCTATTGAGCCGTGGCGCTGGCCTTGTTTATTTTTTTTAACAAAACTTTTTTCAGGCCCTACAGGCTGAAGATTAGCAAAAACTAAAATAATTACACTTCTTTCATAAAATGTCCTCTGGACAAACCCAATGATGAGGCTAGCAACACTGTTTTAGTAGTCTGGGAATAGCTGGGTCCTAGGAATATGTTCATTCATACTTGAGATAGCCACCTGAAGCAGGAAGAGGAAGTCATTTCTCTAAGTTTGTACAGAAAGAGTTAAGGATAGAGTTTGGAATTATAAACCTAACTGTCTCTAACTCAGCATCAACAGCAATAATCTGAGATTTTACTGTTTTATGCATACACTTTGGAAGGGAAGATATTTTGATTTTAAAAATTTAAATTATTTTCATTTTATTTCAAAGGCAGAGAGACAGAAAGCAAGGAGAGACATAAATAAAAAGATCTTTCGATATTCTGAGCCAGGCCAAAGCCAAAAGCCTGCAGTTCAATCCAAGTCTCCCATGTGCACCGCAGAGACCCAAGTACTCAAGTCACCACTGTTGCCCTCCGGGGTGTGTATTAGCCAGAAGCTGGGACTTGAACCCAGGCACTACAATATGAGAAGCAAGAATCCCAAGTGGTATCTTAGTGACTATTCCAAACACTTGCCCCAGGAAGATCTTTTTAAATGCTAGAATTTTAAAATAGTTTTTACTTGCCTTTGTTGAGGAAACATCTAGAATCTGAATGTCAAATTTAAGGGTCCAGGGTCAAAGAAAATTGGCAAGACTTATGTTTTGTAGTAGCAGTGGTATATGAGATATTTGTATCAAGTGTTAAAGAATCTGTTCATCCACCAACCAATAAACTATGAAGAAGCAAAAATTAATAATTTTCAGAGATAATACCTAGATAAAAATAAAATTAAAATGCATTTAGAAGTTATAAGAAGGGGGATTATTTCTTTAAAATTTACAGAAACCAAATTTGTCAAAAATTAGAATACATTAAAATGAAAATTCTATTAATTAAATAACACTATTAAAGAGTGGGAGAAAACAATTTCTCACATATGACCAAATGCTATTTTAATAAGGCAGAGATCTGAATAGAAAGGTAGACAAGACCTTGAAAAAATTACTGCACACAGAAGATTTCTAAGTGTTTGACAATCATATGAAACATGCTCTATATCTTTATAAATGAGGGAAAATGCAAAACACCTCAGATAAACAAAATTAATAAATTTTTCCAATGAATTAGTGGAACAGTTGAATACTCATGAACTGATGCTGGGGTTTAGGTTGTTTTATACATTTGAGAAAACCTCCTGTGGAAGGTACATGAGACATCACCATAGGCATAAGATTTAGAGAAACGTCCACATGTGTGTTTCATAGAAGGATACTCACAGTAGCATTAGTCCAAACACTTGAATCCCAGGCAGAGTAGGGCAAGAGGAGGTACATTCAGGAAGAGATAAATGGGAAGGTGTGTGGAAAGTGGTAGGGGTCAGCCATGTTCAAGGTTTTAAATGTTCCATTTAACAAATAATATAAACATTACATAAGTTTTATGTTATATGCATGTCCTATTTCATATATGTGCATTTTTAAAAAGAAATATGTACACTCTATAATATAATAAAGGCTTGCAGTACATGAGAAGACTTGAATATACATACTTTGTGTGTAAATGAGAAAACCCATCATTACAAAGATGACCACATTTCCCCCAAAATAATCTATAAATATACTATCACATTGAAATATTAATGGAAAAAGGCACCCCAAAATTATAAAATTTATCTGGAAGGTTATATACAAATACACAAGGGTACTTCAAAAAATTCATGGAGAAAATGAATTAAATTATTTTGGTGCCAGTTTTGAATCTATGCATAGATTTTTATTGTATGTATTTCTATGAACTTTTGGAAGAACCCTCCTATATTTGAAATTAGCCAAGAAAGTTACCAATTATCACAGCAATGGGAGTAACTACCATTATGTGACATTAACATACATGATATAATATTCCAATACTAGATGAAGATAGAGAAATCAGAATATGAACAAAATCCAGAAATGTATCCATATAATATAGAAATTGCTTGTATGTTATAAGTTGCATTGAAGAGCAATAGAGAATAAATCCAACTACACAGGAATAACACTAAATGTGGAAAGATTAAATTACCAATCAAAGGCAGATTTTAAGGGGGGAGTGACATCAGCAACATAGTCAAACAGGATGCTCCTGACTCACCACCCATGAATGCACCAAATATGCATCTCTTCATGTTTCAATTGTCTCTGTTATTCATATGTTGAGTACAAACAAGGCAATTCATGAAATAACCCCATGAAATGGGTAGGAAAAGCTGTCATACATGGGTATGGATACTTCTCCAGGCACTGTGCCATGTAATTAGCAAGGAAAACCCAACACTGAGCATCACCCTGAACACAGGAGGGTTTGAGTCATGCATATAGTATCCCAATTCTAAAGTTCCTCATGTCATGACTCTTAATTCATGTAGTTCTGGTGACCGATAAGATTAGGCATGCATCAGTCTCCCTTGACCAAAGAACAAAGTGGCAGCTGTATATTATCCTGAGAGTATTTACAGGATCTTCATTTCCCAGGGCCAGTGAACGGAAGGGGTAAAACTCAAAGGTGCCACTTCCTCCCCAGTAGGTATCTGCTAGCTTACTGTGACAACCGGCAACTCTGTCAGTTGAACTGATCAACAGCCTGCATCAGGAAGTGAATGGGTCAAACATTTGTCTCTGGTATCCCAAGTAGGAGCTCAGCCCCTTCCAAGACCTCTTTCGTGGATTTCCCAGTGATAACTCTAGGTCAACAATTCTCCCTGGAAGTAGTTTGTCTATGTATCAAATGCCTTAAGATGTATACTTTCCATTCAAGGGATGCCATCCTATATCGCCTAAGCTCTGGGATCAGAGATTAGTCTTCCCAGATCACAGAAAAAGGTAATTTAAAATGGATGTGCAAGCACTTCCAGGAGCTTCAATCCCAAAGAGCAGTGCAGAGAAAAGGCTAAAAAGCACAATTTCCTGTTTCTCCACAGAAGGGATTCACAGCATACTTTCAGTGCCTACTAGCTGATTCTTGAGTAGCCCTAACAGGCACCTGGAACTTCCTTCCTGGAAGGAGCTTAACTATGCATCAAATGCTGTGACTTTCATAGCTCCTTCCAAGGACGTGCCTCTGTAACCACCATCTTTGGAAGAGAAGGGACTCTGAATTCCTGTCTCCCTGCACCACAGAAAACAGAGATAAACACACAATGCGCTCACTTTCAGTTCCTATACCCTCAGGAACAATGGGTGCAATGTGACAGCAACTGCATGCATAGACAGTACAGATCCTTCACCAGATTAGTGCAGAGTGGGAGATAAATGCCCACTTTCAGCTTCACTGAGAAGACAGGAGGAACTAGAATATATATCTAACACTCCAAGCTTGCTAGTCACATCTACAGTCTCTTTTAACTTATGGTTGTGGAGTATTGACAGATTGTAGTACACTCCAATCACCTGGGGGCCACAAAATTAGAAACAGCAGACTGGACAAATACAAATTTGAGTGATACTTTTAGAATCTCTGAATGAATAAATAGGTGAGATTGCTCTCTTTAAAAAGTACAGTCTGGGCCGGCGCCGCGGCTCACTAGGCTAATCCTCCGCCTTGCGGCGCGAGCACACCAGATTCTAGTCCTGGTCGGGGCACCGGATTCTGTCCCGGTTGCCCCTCTTCCAGGCCAGCTCTCTGCTGTGGCCCAGGAGAGCAGTGGAAGATGGCCCAAGTCCTTGGGCCCTGCACCCGCATGGGAGACCAGGAGAAGCACCTGGCTCCTGCTTTCGGATCAGCGCGGTGCGCCGGCTGCAGCGCGCTGGCCGTGGCGGCCATTGGAGGGTGAACCAACGGCAAAGGAAGACCTTTCTCTCTCTCTCTCTTTCTCTCACTGTCTACTCTGCCTGTCAAAAAAAAGAGTACAGTTTGATAAGCTGGGGAAAGATAACTGTCTCTCCTAATGTGTACAAACCGATACAAAAAGTCAAGAAAAAGAGGAACTAAATGGCCAATAAAAGAACAGGATAAACCTAGAGCCAACTCTAATGAAGTGGAAATTTGATTTACCCAAATAGGAATTCAAAATAATGGTCATAAAGACGTCCACAGAGATCAGGTGAGCAATGCAAGAACCAAATGAAAAATTTAACCAAGGAAGTATTAAAAAGGTACGAAACATAAAATGATACAGCTGAAGAGTATTTTAACTGAACTGTAAAATTAAAATGAAGTGTTTGGCAGAAAACTTAAACAAAACACAGGATCAATGAACTTGGAAGACTGGTCACTGGAGATCATTTATGGGAAGCAAAAAAAGTAGGAAAGAAAATGAGTGACGAAAGCTTAAAAGATGAATGGCACAGCATCAACTAAAACATATATACTATTAGTATACTAGAAGGAGAAAGGGAAGGAGTAACAATAGAAAATATATTTCTATAGTGACATAAAATTCCTCAAGTCTATGGAAGCAGGCAGAAATTCACAGTAGAAGAGCCCAAAGGACATCAAATAAGATGACTCCAGAAAAAGTCTTCCACACTGAGGCAAATCATAATCAAACTGTCTTAACTTAGAGACAGAGGAATTTTTTTTTAAATCAGCAATGCAAAAGTATCTTTTTATTAACCATAAAACATTTTAGCATATCTTTTCATCAGAAATTTTGCAGGTTAGAAGAAAGTGGTATAATAATTTAAAATTCTGAAAACAAGATTAAAAACACTGAACGTAGAACACACTATCCACTAATTCTGTATCTGAAAAATGGAGGATACAGAAAGCCATTCTCATATAAACAAAAGATGAAGGTATTTACCACTACTTGACCAGCCTAACAAAAATGCTAAAAGATGCTCTTAAAGTTGCAGAAGGAAAATAATGGTAATTAGTAAAATGAAACCATATGAAAGTATAGAGTTCATCAGTAAAACTACAATGTCAAACCCAAATCACCTATATGTAATTATGATGGATAAATCAATTATATATCCAGTATACAGATTAAAAGGAAAAACACTTAAAAGCAACTATATAGTATATTCTAATGGGTGCAAACAAAAATGTAAATACAATGTACAATGGAACATGATAAAAGCAGTTCTAAGAGGGAAGTTTCTACTATCATATATAAATAAAAATATATAAATATATAATAAGCTAACTTAACATTGTCCATCTCAACAAAACAGAAAAAGAACTTTCTAAACCTAAAGTTAGCAGAAGGAAGGTAGTGACACAGATCAAATTAGATATAACGAAAGTGAGACTCAAAAGTAATAAGAAATACAAATGAAACTCCAGATTTTTATCTTAAATTTAAACAAAATTGACAAACCCTTAGCTAGACTAACAAAAAGAGGGAAGACACAAATTCAGAAATAAAAGAGGAAACATTACAAGGAATAACACAGAAGTTCAAAGGGTTATAAGAGAATATTATGAAAAAAATGCACAAATGAAATATGTTACCTAAAAGAAATGGGTAAAATTCTAGAAAAATATAACCCACCAAGATTGAATTATAAAATTATAAATATTAGACCAACAACAAGTAGAGACAGTGCATCAGTAACAGAAAATTTCCCATCAAGGGAAAGCCCAAGGCCAGATGGGTTCATGGCTGAATTCTACCAAATTTTTAAACAACCAATCTACAAACCTTTGTAAAAAATTGAAAGGATACTAAATAATTTTATAAGGCTACCATTACACTAATACCAAATCAAGACAGACATTACAAAGAAAACATTGGGGAAAAATATGACCTTGGTCTAGGCAATGATTTCTTGGACATAAAAATAGCATGAAAGTTCCTCATAAAACTAAAAATAGAACTAAATCGCATACAGCAATGCCACATCTAGGTATACATCCAGAGGAACTGTACTTCTATTTTCATTATAGTATTATTCACAATAGATATGACATAAAACTACCAACACATCAATAAATGGATAAATTGACTACAAAAAGGGAGGGAACACTTAATTATACTCAGCCTTAAGGAAAGTAAATTCTGTCATTTGTGACAAACATGAATGAATATTAAGCGACATGAGCCAGACATAAGAAGACAACTGCCACAGGATCTCTTATATATGGAGTCTGAAAATATTAAATTCACAAAATTAGAAAGAATAATGGCAATTATCAATGGGAGTTTAGGGGGAAATGGGACACACTGGTCAAAGAGAGCAAAGTTTCAAAGAGTAAGTTTTTGAGCTGCACTGCATAGAGACTATAGTAATGTATTGTGCATTTCAAAGTTGAGAAGGATGGATTTTCAATGTTCTCATCATGAAAAAATACATCTGTGAGGTAATGGATATGTTACGTAGACTGAGTTGATCATTTTGCAATGTATACCATTCATCAAAATACCACACTGTGCCCCTGTAAACATATACAACTATCAGTCAATTTAAATCAAAATTACTAAAAAGAAAAAGAATGCCGGATGTGATTGAAAACAGATTGAATATAGCACAAAACTTTAAATTTAGACAGAAACATTGAAAGTTAAAGGATAAAAAAATATATCCTAAGCTAAAGACTTGTAAGAGAGCTTTTTACATTAACTGACCATTACAATAGACAGAATTAAATGACATTTAATAGTAATAAAGGGTCAATCTGGACAACATATCAGTTATAGATATATGCAAAAGAGATCAAAATTAAATGGAAAGTAAAGGAAAAATTTAAGGAAGAAATAGACTATTCAACAGCAATATTTGGTGACATCAATATCCCACTCTGAATAATAGCTGAAACAATAAAAGGCTAAGGATATTCAATTTTTGAGCATCACAGAACTATAGATATGTCTATATCTGTCTATTTAGCCCTATTTTATAATAGGGGACACACCACCAAACAACAAAATACATATTCTGTTCAACTGCACATGGAATTGTCCATTAAAAACCATTTCCTAACTCCCAAAGCAGTCTAAATAAAATTTAAAGGATTGAAATCAAATTATGTTAGCTGCACACAATGGATTTACACTGAAAGCCAGTAACAGAAAGTCATCTGAGAAGTGTACAAATGTGTGGAAACAAGAAACATTCCCAAATAGCCATTGGGTCATAGAAAGAGATAAAAGAGAAACTAGGAAATATTATAAGATGAATAAAAATGAAAATACAACACACAAAAGCTAACAGGATGAAGGAAATTGTAGCTCCAAATGTGTTTTTTTAATACTTGAAATCAGTAAGTTAAACCTTCCACTTTAAGAACCAGAAAAAGGGAAAACTAAGCCCAAAACAAACTGCAAGAGGGAAATAGACTATGATGGAAAAAAAATATAGAAAGGATGGTATCATGCTATGTTCCCACCAGGATGAGAACCAGGGATGGGATTGGTGGCAGGTGGAAAGCAACATCTCTGCCCACCAACACACAACCTTTGCATCCACTCACACTCCTTGGGGTCTGTACTAGACCCCATCCTTCCCTAGTTACTCCTGACCCCTCCCTGAATTCTCCTGTATCTCTGTGTAGTGACATTGTACCTGTAGTGCTGGCCAGCTATACACCAAGACCAGGAAAGGATCATGTCAGCCTTGATCACACATTCCACTTGCTCGTCCAAGCTGCTTCCTGTCAGGTCTTCACCCAGGTCAAGACCGTAAAGGGTCTAGACTAGCCCCATTTTAAAGTGGACAAATTGTTAGTCACCACGTGCTAACATATTACTCAGACCTGGTCACAGGGCCATGAACTGTGCTACCACACGCTGTATAACTTCAGTATGAGAGATATCATTTTCATCCCTTGCTTAGAGAAACAGGGGGCAATCTCAGAGTTCCAAATGGAAGCTGCAAGTTTGCTGGGCAAATGGGAAGGGATGCAAGGAATCCAGGATGTCCAGCACCTTATGCATCTGCACAAATCACAGCAAGTAGAAAACAAGGGAATCCCTACTCACCCATATTGGTGGTCCTTGACTAGCTGGGCTGTGCACATGACTGGAACAGCTCCTCAGAACACAGACCAAGATTGGAATATGTACAGGATGATCGAGGACTAGGCAATATTTGCCATCCCCACAATCCACGCTCCTTGTACAGTGGGTTTTCAACTCCTGCCCCCAACCTATCCTCCTGACTTTGTTTCTTGGACACACAGACCTCAAAAGCTGTGGCCCAGGAAGAAGTCTGTGTAGTGGTGCCTTTATTGTGACCCTGTTTCCATCCATACCAAAATGCACACGTCCTCCCATTTCTGTCCCCTTTTCAGGACTGGGTCTCCTGATGACTGTAGGAGACTGAGACAAGTGGTTACCATGGACTCCAGGAGGCTCCTCTACTGGAAAAAGGCTCTGAAGCAGCAACATCAATAGATGGGCAGGCTGGATGGGCCTGGCAGCTCTTCTGGGACTTGCAGAGTCTTGGCTCTGATGGGTTGCCGTATATTCTTACAGCTAGCTCCTAATTTAATTTCTCCTGCACTGTGGGATGTTTACTGTGTTGTCCATAAATATTTTCCTGGGATGGTGGAAAACATCAATGAAAGCCAATATTCAAGGCATTTTGCATCCAATGCTATGAAACTAATAACAGGAGCATTTCTGTTTCCACTTATTACTTTTCCCATCTCCATTTTCTACATCTCACTCCCCATCTTTGTACAAAGGAGAAAAGGTGACTATCTTGCAATTTGATCATAGATTTGTCCACTCCTTTGAAATTTGCTATGCACACATTACATATGCTAAAGTTGATTCGTGGGCACATTTAGAATTGCTAAAGAAACTTGACAGATTAAATCCCATATTAGTATAAATTTTGTTCTGTTTACAAAAATGTTTTTGGCCTCAAAATCAACTGTGTCAGAAATAAGTATTTTGGCTTTTAGTGTTTTCATAAAATACATATAACCATGTTTCCCTTTAAATCTATTTTTATCTCAATATGTAAGGTCTGAATTCTCATGCTTATCACTTGGGAGATGACAAGGACCAATGAGACTATTTCCAGTGGGTAGCAGGGAGATGTGACAGGGCTGACTCACAGGACTATCCTCAAGATGGATAAATCTTCACAGGACATCACTGTGTTTGAAGCCTGGTCATCAAGGAATCGCTGATACCCAGGTGAAATGTTTCATCTCAAGTGGATATCCACAGAGATCTAAGCTGAATGTAAATCCAATCAGAATTCAATAAGGGCTTTGTGAATATGTGATGGGAATTCACAGATATTTTAAATAAAAGTATGGATCAAAATGAAGGTAGATAAAATTTTAAAATATTAAAAGGATATTAAAGATGCCACAATGTTCAGTACTGTGTTTTTGTGTAAGGGGTTCAAACAGATCAGTGAGAAAGATCAAAGAGGTATCATGATAGGTCACATAAATGCAGTCACTTCAGGACTCAATTAAAAACAGAAGCAATCCACCTCAGCAGAGTATAAGGAAAACAAAAGAAAAAGAAAAAAAAAACACACTGATCCAATATTAATCACTGGAAGACTGCTGGGACTTTAGGACACAACATTCTGTTCATGGCATCATTTTATCCTATACCTTATAAACACAGACTGCTACTAGTACAAGCAGATCCAGGTCCATACAAAACAGGTCTGTGATTATATATACCACCAGAGAATTGCTACCCCAGACAAAAGACTCATCATATAGGGTAGGATGCACCACATTATGGATGGCACATGAGTCAGGTGATAAACTTGTGGTCACACATCCGGTTTGTACTAGAATAATGGGTGGATGGAATGAGAGGCAAACAAAGCAACAGCCGTTCCAAATAACTGAGTAAATAAATTTAGTAAATAAACTCAAATAAGTGGGTGTTTGGGCTTGAATATTTGTTCTCAAAATTAATTTGTGAAAAAAGAGCTCAGGTTCCACCCATAATAAGGGGAGGCTGAAACTGCAAGCCATATGTTCAAGAGAACAGACTTTGAGGAACACATATCCAGTATTAGCTATTGGGGATGGAAGATATTCCTTGTGTGGGCTCCCTAAAATCTGTAGGGTGTATGACTTCTGGAAAAAGATTTTTCCACATTCATTACATTCTTAGCGTGGCTCCCTCTGTGATTTCAGTGATGCTTCTCAAGGCTTGACTTATGTTAAAAGGTTGTTTTACATTCATTATATTCATAAGATATTTTTCTACTGTGAGTGCTCTAATGCCTGCTGAAATGTGACTTTTGGCAAAAGGCATCTCCACATTCTTTACATTCATATTTTCTCACCTGTGTGAGTTCTCTCTTGTGTCCTGAGGTGTGACTTCGGGCAAAATGTTTTTCCACATTCAATGGGTTTTCCCATTGGAAATCTCAGATATCTGCTGAGATGTATCTTCTAATAAAAGGCCTTCCTATATTCAGTATATTCATAAGGTTTTGTCCTTATGTGAATATACTTGTGTAAATACAATGTACAATGATATGTGACTTCCAGTAAAAAGTTCATCCAAATTAAGATGTTTCACCTGTGTGGATTCTGATGCATCATCAGGTTACCCTTCCTGCATAATGATTTTGTTTTAAGCATTCATTACATTTCCAAGGTCTCTCCTGTATTTTCTGTGTGACTACTTTGATGTAAATCGAGAACTGACATCTGGTAGGTTTGTCCACATTCATTCCATTTATATGGATTTTCCCGAGTGTGAATTTTGTGATGTACATTGAGAGCTGACTTAGAATAGTAAGTTTTCCCACATTCTTTACATTCGTATGCTTTTTCACCTGTGTGAGTTCTTTGATGTGTCCTAAGGTGTGACCTCCGGTAATAGGTTTTCCCACATTCATTACATTCATAAGGTTTTTCCCCTGTATGAGTCCTCTGATGTATAATGAGGTCTGACTTCCTGTAAAAAGTTTTCCCACATTCATTACATTCATAAGGTTTTTCTCCTGTATGAGTTCTCTGATGTACAGTGAGGTGGGATTTTCGACAGAACGTTTTTCCACAGCCAGTACATTCATAAGGTTTTTGCCCCGTGTGAATTCTCTGATGTATAGTGAGGAGTGACTTCTGGCAAAAGGTTTTTCCACATTCATTACATTCATAGGGTTTTTCACCTGTGTGGGTTCTCTGATGTACTGTGAGGTGTGACTTCCGGTAAAAGGTCTTTCCACATCCACTACACTCATAGGGTTTTTCCCCTGTGTGAGTTCGCTGATGTATAGTCAGGTCAGACTTCCGGCAAAAAGTTTTTCCACATTCATTACATTCATAGGGTTTTTCACCTGTGTGAGTTATCTGATGTCTGCTGAGGTGTGATTTTCGGTAAAAGGTTTTCCCACATCCGTTACATTCGTAAGGTTTTTCCCCTGTGTGAGTCCTCTGATGTATAATGAGATCTGATTTCCGGTAAAAGGTTTTTCCACATTCACTACATTCATAAGGTTTTTCCCCCGTGTGAGTTCTCAGATGTATGTCAAGGACTTTCTTCCGGTAAAAAGTTTTCCCACATTCATTACACTCATAGGGCTTTTCCCCTGTGTGAATTCTTTGATGTACAGCAAGGACTGACTTCTGATAGAAGGTTTTCCCACATTCGTTACATACATAAGGTTTTTCTCCTGTGTGAGTTTGCTGATGCATGCTGAGGCTTGACTTCCTACAAAACGTTTTCCCACACTCATTACATTCATAGGGTTTTTCCCCTGTGTGAGTTTGCTGATGCCTAGTGAGTTGAGATTTGTGGTAGAATGACTTCCTACACTTTTTACATTCATATGCTTTCTCATCCGTGTGAGTTCTCAGATGTTGAGTGAGGTACGACTTACAGGAGAAAGTTTTACTACATTCTTTACATTCATATGGTTTCTCACCTGTATGAATTCTTTGATGCGTCCTGAGGTTGGACGTCTGACAAAAGGTTTTCCCACATTCATGACATTCATAGGGTTTTTCCCCTGTGTGAGTTCTCTGATGTATAATGAGATCTGGCCTCCGGTAAAAGGTTTTCCCACATTCATTACAGACATATGGTTTCTCACCTGTATGAATTATTTGATGTGTCCTGAGATTTGACTTCCGGTAAAAGGTTTTTCCACATTCATAACATCCATACGGCTTTTCCCCTGTGTGAATTCTTTGATGTATAGTAAGGCTTTGTTTACAGTTGAAAGATTTCTCGCACTGGTTACATGCAAAGGGTTTTTTCTCTGGATACGTCATTTGATTTATGTTAAGACCAGATTTGCTAATGAAAGTTTCATCATAACCAATATATCCATAAAATCTCTCTCCTGTGTATGTTTGCTGATGTATAGGGAAAGCTGCTACTTTATAGAAAGTTTCTTTTCCAATTTGAGTTGCCTCTCCAACAATGAAACCTGACATATCACAGGCTATTCCATATTCATTATATTTATAGGGCATCTCTCTCATGTGAGCCTCCTTAGGTGTAAGGAATATTGCCTCCCTATTGAATACATTTACCTGTTCACTATATTCAAAAGGCGGCTGTAAAGTTTGAATCTTGTGCTGCTGACTAAGATGATCAAAGCACGTCAGGGATTTCCCAGTTATATTATGGTCACCAGGTTTCTCTTGAGCATACATCTCATTTGGCTCACTAGGGAGAATCTCATTCTGATATACATTAAATGCCTCAGGTCTCACTTCTGAATAATCTTCATTTTTTACAACCAATTTGGAAATATGGTTTGAATTCAAATCACATGTTTTTCTTAATTCAACTCGCTCCTCAGTTGATGTGTTGTTGTTTACGACTACTACTTCCCAAAAAGTTATGCCTTGATTTTCCTGGCTGGTCCCAGTCAGGTCATCCATTTTCTGGACAACTGAAATGAGAAAAAAATAACCACTTCCATGAACCACATCTCATGGAATGCTCATGTAAAGGTAAAGAAATTTATTCCTATTCTAAAGTAGCGTAAGATTTTCAAGTATCAATGAAAGGTGGTAATTTATAACAAGTATATGGTTTTTCTCCTTTATGAATTAATAGGTTACGTTAATAGATTTTCCAATGGTAAATTGTGATGTTTTCAAGGCCTTTTTTTTTTCTTTAAAAAAGTCAGAAAATATTTAATCAAATGATTTTCCTACTGCCTAGGTAAAGTATGAGGCTGAATGCTTTTCATCAGTCTCTGTTCTTTCCAGTTTTTCCTCATAACTGTGTGCTTCTCTTATGCTGATCTCTCAAATTTGAAAATGCCAAGGTACTCGTGGATTAGTTACTTAGAAATACAGGAAAAGGCCATTCTATGACTTAGAAACAGGATTTGGACCTGTGGTGGTTTCATTTTCACTCCTCTTGGGGGAATGATTATAGGCATCTTTAGGGTTTTCCAAATACATGATAGCCTGTTCCCCACACTAAATAAAGACAATTATCTCCATATTCTAAAATAAACCTAACATTACTTACTTCTCAGAACATTATCAGATACAAAAAGATTCCAGTACATTGCCATGTGCACTCCCTTCCTGCTGGTCTAAAGGATTACGTTCTACAACCCATTTTTGAAAAATGTTTTTCGGGCTCCTGAGATGAAAAACTTCAACTTTCTCCCCTGCTCTAAAATTTACTGGTTCTGAAAACTTCTGTTTTCTGTGTTGGAATTTCAGTTTTCTTCAACTATCACAAAGCAAAAAACAAAAACAAAACACGCCCCCTCTGAGAGTTCTACACATATCTTATCTCTGTCATTTTTGAGCAATTCTGAAAAATGAAGAATGCAACCTTTGAACTCCATTCCCAAACATCTCTGACCTTTTCAATACGAAACAATCACTTTATATCACCATGGGACCCAGAGTCTCCTGGTTCTCCTCTAGGGCCACCATTTTCATTCTCCCAGTGCTAGGTACTGCTTAGTCTCATGATTTCTGATATTGTGTTATACAAGGCTCATTCCTGGACTTACTTTCTCTCATTTTCTTAACAACTTCCTTGGTCAAGATTACCTGGTAAGTATGACTTTGAATACTAGCTTTAAGCTACTGATTTGCATATTTGGTTTACAATAGTGATGTACACTATTCTAAATTTTATATCAGTCTATATATTACATGACAAATTTGGAAAACTACCTCAAAATTAAGCTAACTCAGGGCAAATAAATATCTCTTTAAAACTGTCTTCCTTTAAGACTCTGTCTAAAAAATTGAAACGCTATTTTCTCTTTTTCTCAATCTGATAAAACATCCTTTGTGGCTCTTATCTCATCACCATATATATTTATTTGGTTTTACACTCTCAAGAGAAGATACACCTGTTTCCTTATAATAAGCACTGAGAGAATTCATAAATATATGAATGAATGCCTAAAGGAAAATGGGGTATCAAAAAAAAAAAAAAAAAAAAAAAAAAACCTGAATTGAACCCAGAAGAAAATTCTACAAAGAGCCAGACAAGGATCAGATTTTTTAGGAAGTCGAAAATAATACTTATCAACAATAAAAATAAGGAACATAGGTAGAAATGTGACAGACTTCCTTGCAGGCTTCTATTGGGTACCTGATACATGAAACCAGCTATACTCAGGGTTGGGACTTGAGTTAAAAATTGGTGAAAACAGCTAACACAATCAACTGAGCTTCCCTTTTCTAACCCTCCCAGCCCGGCATGTACTCACTGACCTTGGAGACTCTGCTGTGGGGGTTCTTCTACTGTCCATGGCTCTGCTCCTTGTTCCAACTTGAAGATCACATCAGGTTTGGTTACACAATATCCTGTTAATGCGAATAATGTAGAACTTAGGCTAATGTTACATCAGGTGCTTTTTAGATTTACTCATTTATTTTGAGAAGCAGAGAGACACAGAGAGGAGAGAAATAGAGTTCCCATCCACTGGTTTACTCCCAAATGCCAATGGCTAGAACTGGGCCAGGGCCAGAGCCAAGGGCCAGGAACTCAATTCAGATCTCTCATATGGTTAGTAAGGACCCAATACTTGAATCATCGTGTGCTGACATTGACGGTGCACCTTAGCAGAAAGCTGGGATCAGGAACAGAGCTGAGACTCAAACTCAGGTACTCCAATATGGGATGTAATCATCTAAATCAGCGTCTTAACCCCTAGGCCAAACACTCACCCCTAAGTGAGGTCCTCTGAAGAATAATAGCTGCTTGGCTTCAGGAGTAGTGCAAAGAAAAGGCCAATTTGAACTTTTTCATTTGAGAATGTTGATATATTTTTCATGGACTGGAATCTTTTACCCAAATACCATTAAACCCATAAAGAGCTCATTTATTATTTTTAATTTTTTTTTTCTTTATTTACTTTAGAGGTAGAGAGAGTGTGAGAGTGAGTACCTTTATTTGTCGATTCCCTCCTCAAATAACCACAGCAGCAGGGACTAGGCCAGGTCAAAGCTGGGAGCCAGGATCTGAATCCAGGTTTCCCACACAGGTGGCAGGAACCAAATTACTTGAGCTATCACCACTACCTACCTGGATGTGGCAGAAAGCTGGGTATTGAATCAAGACACTCTGATGTGGGACATGGGCCCCTTAACCACTAGGTGAAATGCTCACCCCCTAAAGGGTTCATTTGTTCAGGAATAAGAAGGTGTTCCATGTGGGGATTGCTGGGGAGTTTCACTCACCCAAAGACAGCAGGCTGTTGTATGTCTCCAGCATCACATCCCTGTACAGGGTCTTCTGAGCATTGTCCAAGTCCTGCCACTCCTCCCATGTGAAGTCCACAGCCACATCCTCAAATGACACCAATACCTGTAACAAAACATTTCTCCTTAACATATCAGCTCTTGGTCACAAAACAAGAAGATTGGGAGTTTATTCTTTTGTGTGTGTTATATGTGTCTTTTACAAAACCCAGCCTATTCCGCATTCTATATGGTGCTACAAATAAAAATTACAATAAAAATATCTTGCTTCTTCGTAATTCCAAAAATACAATAGAGTTTCTGTCATATCTGTAACTGTACTTGTTCCTAGCAAGAACAGAACAATTAAAATCCTTACTGGCTCTCCAAGGAGCTAATAATCTAGTCTAAATAAGCATAAACGCATCCCTGAAATAACATATTAAATGAACTGAGACATATGTTCAATGTAGATCAGGGTAACAAAGAAGTAGATAAAGATTTTTTATGTGTTATCAGGTTGTACTTCACTGAAACACCAAAGATTTTTAGATCCTCTTTATAATTCTAATCTCATGAGTATGAAGCAACAAAAATCAGTTGTGAAAGTACAAAGAACATATGCTAGGTGAATGGAACTATATAAGCACCGCATCTAGGTGTGTGTTCCCAGGCTGTTACAAAAGATACAGGCGGTGGTGCCGGAGCTGTGGTGTAGCAGATAAGGCCACTGCCTGCAGTGCCAGCATCCCATATGGGTGCCGGTTCAAGTCTCAGCTGCTCTACTTCTGATCCGGCTCTCTGCTATGGTCTAGGAAAGCACTGGAGGATGATGGCCCAAATCTTTGGGCCCCTGCATCTGCATGGGAGATCTGAAATAAGATTCTGGCTCCTGGCTTCAGATCGTCTCAGCTCTGACCATTGCAGCCATTTGGGGAGTGAACCAGTGGATGGAAGATCAATCAATTTCTCTCTCTCTCTCTCTCTGCTTCTGCCTCTCTATTATTCTGCCTTTCAAATAAATAGATAAATCTTAAAAAAAAAAAAGATACAGGTGGTAATGATGTTCAAGGAACGGATAACTGAGTGACTCTATAGTAACTATGTTTGACTTAATTCCAACAATTAAAATTGTGCTTTCTTAAAATTATTTACAAAATAAAGTATGCATAAGCATTTTTCTAATTCCAACATCCAAAAGAATTGCTATTCACATGAAAGTAATTACCCACTTCCTAAACCACTGAATGTAAATAATGAAGGACCAGTGAAAAAGTGGTGAGTCATCTCCTGGAAGGGGAATTGGAAAGTTTTGAGGGACAGTAATAGGGGAAGAAGCCAAAACAAGACATGACCACTTATCATCACTAATAAGAATACAGAACAGGGAACTCAATATAAAACAGGTAAAAAAGGGGAAAAAAACAACAATACAGGAACGGAAATCAGTACTAAGCTGTGCAGAGGATAAAAATGGAGTCATAAAAGTATAGTTTAATTCCATTCTAACTGCATGAGCAGCTACACAGATACTGGCACTAAAAATTGAAATTGGGAAAAAGAACAGAGTATAATGTAAAGAAGTGAGAATAATCTTAGACAAATACTTTAAAGTTTCCATATTCAAATATATTAGGATATTCAACTATATGAATATATGATCTAGAACTTAGAAAAGAGATGTAGCTGAAGATAAATATTTGGGAAACAGTAAACTTCAGCAATGTCTGAAGCCATCAAAATGATTTAAGTGCTCAAAGAGAAGCTAAGAGATAGGAAGAAGAAAAGGAACAAATAGAGAATCTGAGGACACACGGACATTTACTGACAGAGGAAGGGAAATAAAGAACGAGAACACAGAAGGATTTTTTAAAGTTTATTCCAAAAATAAGGAAAAGTTTAATATTAAGAAACCTATTAAAGTTAACATGTACAATTCCAATTTTTTCCACATCAAAATAAATTTGCATTTCAATTTTATTTCCCACAACTTTTTCAAGCACCCTTACATTTTTCACCATATTCATAGCTGCTTGTGGGGGATGAGGGGCAAGAATCTATGACATCCACATAGACAAGAAAGTTATCTTTTAAAATACCATCCCATCTTAACATAGACCCTTAATACAAGATTTCATGGCATTTTTAATATTTTATTATTTACTTGAAAAGCGGAGAGACAAAGAGACATGTTCCATCTTTGGGTTCACTTCCCAAATGCCAGCAAAAGATGAGACTAGTTCAGATCAAAGCCAGAAGCCAAGAACTCAATCCAGATACTGCAGGTGGGTAGCAGGGACCCAAGTACCTGCTGCTTCTCAGGGTATGTATATGCAGGAGGCTGGAATCAGAAACAAAACTGGGACTCAAACCCAGGAACCCTAATATGAGCTGTGAGCATTCCAAGCAATGTCTTCACTGTGCCTAATGCTCACTCCTAAAAAAAAAAAAAAAGATTTGTTTATTTATTTGAAAGCCAACTTGCACAGAGAGAGAAGGAGAGGCAGAGAAAAGGGGGGTGGGGGAGTCTTCCATCCACTCATTCACTCCCCAATTGGCTGCAATGGCCGGAGCTATGCCGATCCGAAGCCAGGAGCCAGGAGCTTCTTCTGGGTCTCCCATGGACTTGAGCCATCTTCTACTGCTTTCCCATGCCATAGCAAAGAGCTGGTTCGGAAGAGAAGCAGCCGGGACTCAAACTGGTGCCCATCTAGGATGCAGTTTTACCTGCTACGCCACAGCGCCAGCCTCCAAACACTCACTACTTTCACAAGGAAGCATCACAGTTAAAGGGCCAACACTGGAATGATATGTCTCATCACTACAATTATTTAGCATTGTATAAAGGCATTCCTCAATTCAAATGAAAAGAAAAAAAAAAACAGGAATGGCTTATATACAATTCATACCTACAAAACTAAAGGGAATTTCCTGAAAACTATTACAAATAGGATGGCTCAATAACTTGACTATGAACATATTATATAAAAGACATCACATCCCATACTGAAGTACATGGGATCGATACTTGTTTCTGGCCATTGATTTCAATTTCTTGATGATGTAGATGCTGGAAGGTAACAGAAATGACTCAGTGACTGTGTTCCTGCCACCCATGTAAGAGTCCTTGATTCAGTTTCCAGATCCCAGCACTGGCCTTGGCCTAGTTCTGGCCAATGCAGGCAGTTAGTGAGTAAACCAGTGGATGGGAGCTCTCTGTGTCTGAGTTTCTGCTTCATAAATAATAATAATAATAACATTTAAACTCATCATATATAGGACAACATATACATTAACTAAAACAAGAAAAAGATAAAATGGCAACACATTTAACATAAAAAGCATAGAGCAGACATTGTGGCACAGTGGGCTAAGCTGCTGCTTGGGATACTCACATACCATATCTAAGTGCCAGTTCAAGTCCTGGCTACTCTACTTCTAATCCAACTTCCCACTAATACATCCTGGGAGATGCCAGAAGATGGTCCAAGTTTTTGGGATCATGCCATCCATGTAGGAAACCCAGAAGTAGTTCTGGGATCCTTAGTTAAGCCTGGTCCAGCCCTGACAGTTGGGGACATTTGTGGAGTGAGCCAGCAGCTGAAAAATCTCTCTCTCTCTCTCTCTCTCTCTTTCAAGTAGAAGAAAGTAACGTAAAAAAATTTTTAAATACAAAAAGTAAAAAGCATAAAACTGTACTTGTAAGAGAGGAGGGAAAAAGGACTAATCAACTGAAAAGACACAACATGTTCACAAACTGGAAAGTTATACATCATTAAGATGTCAATTATATCTAAGTCAGCAAATTGGTTAAACATTATCCTACCACAAACAAAACAATGTTAGATACAGACACACTAATTTAAAAGTTCATGTGGAAAAGTCAAAAATTGAGAACAGATAGTATATGGTGGGCTCTATTTCTGTTCATAATAAATACCATACATTGAATAGTTTAAATAAAGAGATATTTTATTTCCTTAATTCTACAGGCTAGGAAGTCCAAGACCAAAGTGTCAGCCAGTTTAGTCCCTGATGATGTCTCTCTTCCGACCTTACAGAGTAGCAGAGAATGGGCCAGTCCTTCTATGGTGATTTTCTCAAGAATTTATATACTTAAGACCAATCTTAAACCCCGTATGACTGTGGAGATACGGCTTTTAGGACAATAGGAGATTATTACGGCTAAATTATGTCATAAGGGTAATGTCCTAATCCTACAGGATTGATGGCCTTAGAAGAAAAGGAAGAGAGAAAATGAGAGAGGGGTGTGTGTGCGTGGGGGGGGCGGGAAGAGAGAATGAATGAATGAATGAATGAATATGAATGAATCATTCAGTCCCATATTGAAGTATCTGGAGTCAGTTCCCAGTTCAGCTCCTGATTCCAGCTTCCTGGCAATCCAGACACAAGGAGGCAGGAAGTGATGGCTAAAGCAGTTGGGACTCTGCCAACTATATGAGAGACCTAGACTGAGTTCCCAGCTTCTGGATGTGGCCCCATGGCCAACACCAGCCACTGTGGACATTTGTGGGAGTGAACCAGTAGATGGGAGCCTTTCATTACCCTGCCTCTTGAACATTTTTTTTTTTTAACACATTCATATCAGGTGAGACATTATAAGCGTTATAGCCTTGGGAAATGTTTTCACTTCCTTAAATATCACCTCCCAGTGAAGTCAGCAGTTACATGTATGTGATATCATTTCATATCACTTCAGGCACCACACAATATCCATTGCTTTTATCTGAGAGCGCATGTTAATGGAGCCTCTTCCCCTGGTGTCTTCAGTAAATGAGAATGAATAAAATCTTCTTATCCTTTTAAATTCTGCACTTAACAGCTTTTCCTGTAGACGTTCAGGATTTGGGTATTGTCATGAAAAGTGTTCATGTGTTGAGACCCCTCAAGTTGCCAATTTTGTCATTCTATCACCTTTTGACATCCAGAAGCTTTGGTGGATTTTCTATCCTCAGAATCTCCCCTAGGGAAAGTTTAGAAACATAATCCATTTAAGAAACTATTGCAGAGGTGACAGTTTATGGTGGTATGTGGAAGAGTATTTACAGTGGAAATGGATAGGGGTATATTTTGAAGATTTAGCCACTAAATTAGGGTGATCATCTTTTCCTTCCTATTGCTCCAAAAAAATGAAGTCTTGTAAAACTTTGACTTATCATATGTACTAGGTAAAAATGTATTGCAGTGTAATTTTCACTTTCATTGCTCATTTGCTGAGATAGCTTGACCACTTTTTCATATTTTTAAACATGGGTTTAAAAATTATAAATTCATTTATTTGAAAAGCAAAGCAGCACACAGAGATAGAAATTTCTCATTCATGGTTCACTCCCCAAATGCTGGGTTGGTCTTGGATGAATTTAGGAGCCAAGAACTCAATCAACATATTCCACGTGGATGGCAGAGACCCAACTATTTGAGCCTTCAATACTTACTGCTTTCCAGGGTGCACATCAGTAGGAAGCTGGAATGGGGAACAGAGGCAGGATTGAACTCAGGTACTCTGATATGGAATGTCCCAAGCATCATCCCAACTGATACACCAAACATCTGCCCCAGACTGGGTTTTTGCAGAGCAAGGGAGTAAACTGAAATCATTTGCTCATTTTTCTATTGAGATAGTGATTCCTGACAAACTTTTTCTTCTGAATATCTACTAATTCTTCTGATTAGGAAGATAAGCTTTTTGTGATGACTTGTTATTTTTCTTTTAATTTGGCTTTTTGCTTTTTTATTTTTAAAATTTTGATATTTATATATTCAGATGTCACAAATTTTCCTTGTATGGCTTCTGGATTATAACAAGTAAAAATATCATTGTAATGACAAAGTATTCAGCCATAGACTTTTTGTCTGATTTTCCTTCATGTTTATGCATTTTTAGGATCCTATGTTTCCTTAAGAACACTTTATTCCTCATCTTTCCTTTGGCCATTTTGGGCAATTAAAAGAAGGAGCCAACTTTATCCATCACAGATTCTTAGCAATGGCTTTCATGATCATAACCTTCATTTGTTAATTACCAGGAGATTGAGTATTATTGCTCTTGATTTCCAAAGCATTTTTGGTTCTATTTTTTTATATATATAAGAACTGGAAGAGGCAAACTTATCAACATTAAATGATAAACAATGAGAAATACTTCTTAGTTTTCCAATCTTATATGACCCCAAATTTCTAGTATTTCCCTATTCTGCTTGCATATTGGCTTTTTATCACTTTGCTCAACAGTCAGATGAAACCTCACAAAAATTATAAAATTCTAACAAATTTATAGTACATTTATCTCCTGATAAACTGTAGAGAAATCAAAATTGAAAAACAGGAACTGAATTGAGAAAACCCTTAAAGGTGAGCTCATAAATTGTTGGTATTTCACTAGAAGACATTCTCCAGTTTGCACACAAATCACAGAAACAAACTCTGCAGCTTGACCAGCTTAGGATGTTACAGGGTCAGGTTTAAAACTGAGAAGACAACCATGAATTGAGGGAGAGAAGAAGTACTGCAAGAAGGAAGTCAAAGAATGAAATCCCTCAAATTTTCATATAAAACCCACCAAAACTTTTGTCTATTAAAACTATATTATGAGCCGGCGCCGTGGCTCAATAGGCTAATCCTCCACCTTGCAGCGCCGGCACACCGGGTTCTAGTCCCGGTCGGGGCGCCGGATTCTGTCCCGGTTGCCCCTCTTCCAGGCCAGCTCTCTGCTATGGCCAGGGAGTGCAGTGGAGGATGGCCCAGGTGCTTGGGCCCTGCACCCCATGGGAGACCAGGAAAAGCACCTGGCTCCTGGCTCCTGCCATCGGATCAGCGCGGTGCGCCGGCTGCAGCGGCGGCCATTGGAGGGTGAACCAACGGCAAAAGGAAGACCTTTCTCTCTATCTCTCTCTCTCACTGTCCACTCTGCCTGTAAAAAAAAAAAAAAAAAAAAAAAAAAAAAAAAATCTCAGAAAGGCCAGCAAAAAAATAGCCATTGGAAGAAAAAAAATGGGGAATTGGCTAATGATTATTGCAAGGAATACAGAACTGAGAACTCAAATCCAGGGAGCAACTGTCTCACAGAAGAAAAAGCACTCTTCTGTGGAATGAGGATCCAGAAACTCTGTGCCACATGATGTACAATATCCAGGAAAATGTGACTCATATTCAAGAAAAGAGTCACCAGGAAGAAACTCAAGTTAACTCAGATTGTGCAAGAAGCAGGTAAGATGGTTACTCTAGTTCTAAATATTTTCAAGTACTTAAAGGAAGATAAAAATATAGCATGTTAGAGATGAGGATTATTGGTAGAAATGTAAACAGAAAAATGGAAATTTTAGTGTTCTAAAGTATAGTGACAAATGAAAATTTACTTACCAGCTTAACAGCAGTTGAAAAAGATAAAAAAAATGGAACTTGAAAATTGACAGTTTT